TTTGCCGACCATTGCCTTAGGGGATGTTAGATGCCTGTTTCAGCTCAATCCCCACAGGCCACACCAAGGGACCCTCCGGTGCACGAGTCTGTGGGCCAGGCCTCTAATATTATTAATAATTGTAAACATTTTAAAGTGCTTAGTTGCCAGGCACTGTTTGAAGCACATTACATGAGCACTTACTATTACTTTCAACATAAGAAAAATTAACTGTACAGCAGGTCCTCAGGTTATTCAGAGATCCGTTCCTATGATGCGATGTAACATGATTTTTGCCATAAGTCAGAACCCACCTACATAAGCACCTATGTCACTCACATGGAGCACAAATACAGCAGTAAAGAAGCGAAACAGTAAAAAAAAAAAAATTAAAAGATAATTCCTGACCTTCACTTGTGGTAAAGAAATGATAAAAAACATAAAGCACATATGTACATATATCAAAAGGATGGAATTTATTTAATAAATATTGTAAATGGGAGATGCGACGTAACCATGAAATGACGTATGTTGAGTCCGCCCTAACCCAAGGACTTGCCTGAATATGAAAAATTTCAGGGTATTTTACATTGGAAACCAGGTGCTGAGCTTTGTTTTGAGAATTTTTGACCCAGAAATAAAGTGAATATATAAATAAAATGACGTTTTGGTTTTCCTTTTGTAATAGGTGTCAGTATCGATAGTATCAATATAAAAAAGCACATAACCAGATGGTAAGTTTAAGGGCAGAGACTATTTCTGACACCCTGTTTCGTGTAACATTATCATTGGGCCTATTTGTTGTATAATTAATTATTGTCATTAATAGGCTATTAGAGAGGCGAGACTACAAATTTACTTGCTACAATGTGTGACTGCCAGGTTCCCTGCTACCAGAAATAACTCTTTCAACAGCTCTTTAAAACAATGGTGGAATAAAAAAAATTATAGAATTACCTAAACAGAGTGATAGAGGGAATTGATTGTAAAGGATAGGGAGGGATAGAAGCTAGACTTTTTTGAAGAGAGAATTTTGGAGTCATGTAAATATTTTACATATTTTAAAAAGTTAAATTTTAATGAGCAGTTCTCTTCAAATTAAGTAAAAAAGCAAATCTATGTTTGTAGATGTTGGTATTGCCATGCAGAGAGAAATCATCCCAAGTAACTTTAAAACACAGTAATGTGACTGCATTCCTAGAGGAATATCCCCTTCAGAACAACAACAAAAATAACCCCAAAACAAAAAAATAGTTTTCATTAATTATTTTGTTGATGCTAATATTGGTATTATTTGTTTAAATTGGTAAAAAAGTAAATGAATAATTATTTTGGCAGTTTGAGAACTGGAAAAAGATGAGGCAGAGAAGGGTAATTAAAAACCCTGTAGTTCTGAATTTAAGTTTGACTAATGAGTAAGAACTTAAGAAGTATCCTTTAAAAAAAAATAGTTATCTCCTAGCCTTGTCTACTGAAAGTTCTAGAAATAATGACCAAGCCAGTAGAGTGAACACCCCTAGTGCTCAGACTCCACATACTATATGTAAATACTAGTGGTATTTAGAGACCTACTGATTCCAAGTCTGAGTCAGGAAATGTACAGATGAGGCTGGAGCATCAGGCCATACCAGAAGTAAAGAAACTACTAAAGAATATTCGAATTTTGTCTAAAGCAGAGTGGGGCCCATCCAGCCCATGGGCTATGTAAGACCTGTGAAATCATTTGGTCCAGCCCTGCCAAGGCATTAAGGGTGAGTTAATTAAATGTTTGATCAAATATAGCAAGATAATTTTTAAGATAACTTTGTATGGCCTGTGAATGATGTTCTAAATATCCAAATAGCCCTTGGCAGAAAAAAGGTTCCCCACCCTGGTTTAAAGCATTCCAGACCCGACTTGAATAGGCTCCCACTGGACAAAGGATAATTTAACCACAAAGAAGGAGAAATACTATAATGGATGAAAAACTTCAAACATTTTTAAATTTTTGATTTACAGGAATATGTATTTAAAACAAACAAAAACCTTTAGAGAATACTAGGGAACCAAATCATTGTTTTAGGGAAATGATCAGGTGTTTTATTTTGCCTTTCATATTAGCAATCTTCAGAGTAGCCAAATACTCAATGAGGGGAAATTTTTCATCTTGGATATATTTGTGCTGATAAATGAAGACAGAATGCTAGCAATGTCCTCCTGAAAGTACACAACCAACCTTTGAAATGTTCTTTATAAACAAAATATAAAACCCTGAATCTGATCAAGCCTCTAGTTCTAACTACTAATTTACAGGAAAGAGAAGAGACAAAGAAACATGCTAAATTACACCATGGGGATTCATTCAGCAGAAAAACAGACTGTGGGAAACTGCAGAATGAATGACTCACTGTTTTCTCCAACAAATTGCAAATGGGGGAAAAATGATGGAGGACAAATCTATAGATTTAAAGAGATTTAAGAAACATATTAACCAATTGCAATGTAAGAATCTTACTTCAATTTTGTTTTAAACAAACTGGAGGATAAAAAAATAAAAAGAACATTTATGGGTTATTTGAGAGAACGCTACCTTGATTTGAGTGTTTCTTAAAAAAAAAAAATTTTTTTTAATTGATTTTAGAAAGAAAGGGAGGTAGAGAGAGAGAGAAACATCAGTGGTGAGAGAGAATCATTGATCAGTTGCCTCCTGCACACCCCCTACTGGGGATTGAGACCCCAACCCCGTGCATATGCCCTGACCGAGAATCAAACCATAATCTGATTCATAGGTTCAACCACTGATTCAACCACTGAGCCATGCCGGCTGGGCACTACCTTGCTTTTTAACAATATTAAAGATTTGTTGAGTGTGAAAGAGGTAGTCTTATTGTATTTGTTTTTTAAGATGAGTTTTTGTCTTTTAAAGGTAGATGTTGAAATATTTATAGTTGAAATGATACATTGTCTGGGATTTGCTTCAAAAGTATACAGGATTGTGTAGGGAGATGTATGGAGTGCTATAGAAGGAACAAACTTAGCTAGCCATGAGTTGAGAATTTTTTAAGCTTGTTGATAGGAATATGAGGATTCATTGTTTTATTTTCCCAACTTTTCTATAAGTTTTAAATTTTTTACTATGGGAAAATTAAGAAGAATAAATATCTGACCATAGCTGCATAATAATGACTCAAAACAAAACAAAAACATAGGATAACATAACTAACTTATTTCCTTATGATCAAGTTTACCACCTTTCTTTTTTAAAATGTCTATTTTGTATTGGTTTTAGATTTAGAGTAAAAATGTTAAGATAGTACAGAGTGTTCTTATTTACTTTTTCCTCATTTTCTCTCTATTAATGTCTTATATCAACATGCTATATTGGTAAAACCTAAAAAACCAACATTCGTGCTTTACTATTAACTAAGCACCAGATAGAATTCACCAGTTTTTCCATTACATTCTTTCTGTTCAGGAAAGGGTACTACATTAGCATTTAATTGTCATGTCTCTGGTCTTCTTTGGTTTGTGACAGTTACTTAGTCCTTCCTTGTTTTTCATAATCTTGATAGTCTTGAGTACTGGCCAGTACCCTGTAAAATGTCCCCCAATCTGGGTTTGTCTAATTCCTTTTTTTTTTTTTTTTTTTTTTTTTTTTAATATTAGACTAGGGTTGTGAATTTTGGGAAGAGTACCACAGAAGTAAATAGCTCTTGTCATCACTTTACATCAGGGGATGCTATCACCATGACATCACTGATAATATCAACTGTCATTGTTTCCACTGTCAAGTTTTTATTTTTCGCTTTCTCTCCTCTATTCTTTAGAAGCAAGTCACTAAGTCTAGCCCAACCTTAAGTGGGAGGTATTAAGACCCTGCCCACAATGCAGTGACTCACTAGAACTCAAGGACATAGCATATGGCTGTTCTGGTGGCTGAGTGTTATTATGGCAAAGGAATATGGAGCAAAGTGAACAAGTGCACGGGGAGGAGTCTGGGTGAAACTAGGCAGAAGCTTCCAAGAGTCCTCTTCTGGTGGTCACAGAGTATGTTCTTCATTCCTTAGCGGTGACAACACGGGTGGAATGTTATCCATCAGGAAAACTTGCTTTAGGCTAGGAGTCCAGGGTTTTTATTGGGGACTGGCCAGGTAGGCAATCTCTGCCTAGCATGTATCCAAATTCTAGATTCCTGGAACGAAAGTGGTATCTTACCATTTGTAGAAAGTTTTATACCAGTGAAAGAAACTATTTACTGATCAATTTCCCAGCCCACAGCCAAAGGCCAGTCTTGCAATTATGCCTTTTAAAGGGATAGTAATCTTAGGCCTTCAGTGTTAGCTCTTTTCTGCACAGGGAAGTATCCTCATGTTACCTTTATTTAATACTTTTTACTTGAGAAAAATGGAATCAGGTAAAAAAATATATATAGAGAGAGTGAAAATAAGATGGTAAGAATGAAAAAGAATTTTAACAAAATCAAGGACATCTAATATCTTCTTTTGCTGTACAGGGTGAAATATGTCATAATTTAGGCCTCTTTTTTTGTTCTTTAAGTATTTCTCATGCCCATTTAAAAAAATACATGCCTTCATTGATTTCAGAGATGGAGAAGAAGATAGAAACTTCAATGATGAGAGAAAATCACTGATTGGCTGCCTCCTGAACACCCCAAACTGGGGATCAAGCCCAAAACTGAGGCATATGCCCTGATCTAGAATCAAACCGTGACCTCCTGGTTTATAGGTCGATGCTCAACCACTGAGCTATACCAGCTAGGCTTTCATGTCCATTTTAAAGTATTGTTATAAAAATTATTACTCATATTGTAACTTTTCAACTTTTGAAGCATTTCATAATAATTTTTAAAAAAAGTCTCCAGATTGTGTGTCATCTCATTTATTGCCAATAATTAGAAGAAGGCCTTGTAAATTTTAGTAATAAAAAATAACATAACAACCAAAACCTGGGTGGGAATCCCAGAGAGTAATTACTAAGATTTAAGGCACAATATGTACTAGTCGCTTATTTTCTTTTAATAGGAAAAACGTGGTCTTCGAGAAATGCGAGTTCTTGAGAATTTGAAGAACATGATCCATGAAACAAATGACCATGCTCTTCCCAAATGTCGAGAAACAATGCACGACAACTTAAACCAAGTTCTCCAGAGATGTAAGCCAGCTATTTTTTTTTTATATTGCTTTATTTCACATGAGTTCTATGCCAAAATGTATCTTGAGTATTTGGTGGGAGTAAGAGAGGATAGAGATGAATGCCCTGTCTCAGAGGAAGTGCTTATCTAGTGATTAATGTGTATCCTAAGTGAGATGTGTTCATCTGCAGTGCACAAGATTATTTATCCTTTTATGATCTGAGAAAATTTAAACCTTTTTTATTTATTTATTTTTTTTAATATATTTTATTGATATTTCACAGAGAGGAGGAAGGGAGAGAGATAGAGAGCCAGAAACGTCAATGAGAGAGAAACATCGACCAGCTGCCTCTTGCACACCCACTACTGGGGATGTGCCCGCAACCAATGTATTATTCATGCCCTTGACCGGAATCAAACCTGGGACCTTTCAGTCCGCAGACCAACGCTCTACCACTGAGCCAAACTGGCTTTGGCTGAAACCTTTTTTACCTTAAAAAATTTATCCAGTAGAAAAAGTTTGATAACCAAGATTTAAGACCTGAAATAAAATGTTTTCAGACAGATAGGATTTTAGAGTGTTTTTTTTTTTAACTTAAAAAAAAAAAAATCCTGTTATTATAATAGTATTTTATTACTTATTTTCATTAAGTAAAATATTTTACTTTGAAGACATAGTTAATCAAAAAAATATTAAACATATCAAATCATAGTATAAAAGGAGTTTTATTAATTGATTTTAAAATTAGAAGTATATCAGAAATACAAGGCTACTCCTTGCATCTATATTGACACTATTCAGCTTGTCCAAGGATAATGCTGGTAAATAATGATGGATTATTGAAGTGCAAAATCAAAAAATGTCTTCTGGGCAGGGAGGAGAGAGAGAAAACTGGTCAATGAAGGAAAGCAGCTGAGAGTCCTTGGCTAGTAATTGAGTTAAGGCTTTTTGTGCAAGTCCAAGTTAGTCTTGTGTACTCTGATGTTAAAAGGAGATTGGAGAGGAAAAATCCCCTAAGGTCACGTTTGGTTTCTTTGAGTGGAGCAACAAGAAGTCTAAAATTAACCTCAGGCTTTTGCATTTTACTACAAACTTGCCCTTGTTTGTTCACACTGTCACTTCCTTAACCTTGACAAACATTCTAGACATTATGCTAAAAATAAAACTAAAATTATATATACTAAAAAAAGACAAATATGTAAATTGACCATCACTTTGAGATGCCCACCAGCCAATCAGGAGTGAGTATGCAAATTAATGGGACAAAGTGGCAGTAGCCATGGGGTCAGCCAGAAGGGGCAGGAGGCTTGGGTCACCCCGGCAATGGAGGAAGCCAAGCTTCCCACCCACCTGGGCTGGTCAATGAAGAAGGATCCTGTGGGCGGCAGCCATGGAGCCAGCCTGGGCACATGGAAGGTATGGTTCACCAGGGGCGACCCAAGCTTCACGCAAACGCTGGTTAGCCGCTGAAGGAGAGGCCTAAGGGCGGTGGCCACGGAGCAGTCCTGAGTGCGGAAGGCTAGGGTTGCCCAGCTGGCCACCGAGGGAGGTGCCTGCAAAGGGCCCTCAACCCTTTACCAAGGCTGGCCACACACCCCCAGCGGGGACCCTCACCCAGTGGGGAGTGGCCGGCCTGCATACTTCCCCAACCCTCGAGCGGGCCAGCACCGTCCTCAGTGGGGAACCCCTCCTGAATGGGGGTGTGGCCGGCCTGCTAACCACCACAGGCCCCTCACCCATGCAGTCCCACTCCTCAAGGGAACCCTCCATCCTGATCTGGGACATCCTTGAGGGCAAACCAGTGCAACACGCTTCTATCTGTGCTAATAAAAGGGTAATATGCTAATTAGATTGAGAAACCTTCCAGGAGAACTTTTAGACATTCTTCTGGACAAAGCCATCATGGTGGGCCAAGGTAGAGGCGGTTAGGGGCCAAGAGGGGAGGGCAGTTGTGGGTGATCAGGTCAGGGGGGGAGGGGCGCACATTGGGGGTTAGCAGGCTGGCAGGGGGGGTAGTTGGGGGTGAGCAGGCCAATGGGGAGGGCAAGTGGGGGCAAGCAGGCCAGCAGGTGTGCAGTTGGGAACAAGCAGTTTGGCAGGGGGGGCAGTTGGGGGTGAGCAGGCCGGCAGGCAGCGTGGTTAGGGGCAGTTAGGCAGGCAGGCAAGTGAGTGGTTAGGAGCCAGCAATCCTGGATTGCAAGAGGGATCCCAGATTGGAGAGAATGCAGGCTGCGCTGAGGGACACTTCTGCCCCCCCTCCCCTCCCCCCTTGTGCACGAATTTTGTGCACTGGGCCACTAGTTATTAATAAGAATGCTTATGTATGCATTTGAACTCTGCCTGTAACTTGCCTTTTCCACATTTTGAGTATATAAAAATAAATTGGATAAAACTTGGTAAAAATCTATAAACAGCCAAGACCGGTTTGGCTCAATGGATAGAGCGTTGGCTTGGGGACTGAAGGGTTCCAGGTTCGATTCCGGTCAAGGGCATGTACCTTAGTTGCGGGCATATCCCCAGTAGGGGGTGTGCAAGAGGCAGCTGATCGATGACTCTCTCTCATCGATGTTTCTAACTCTCCATCTCTCTCCCTTCCTCTCTGTACAAAATCAATAAAATATATATTAAAAAAAATCTATAAACAATTATTTTTGACTTGCTTCATTCTTGGGCTAAAGTTATTTCTGATGTAAGGACTGGCCTCTTAAAAGTAGAGTTTTCAGCCCAGTTGCTGTGGCTCAGTGGTTAAGCATTGACCCATGAACCAGGAGGTCACGGTTCAATTTCCGGTCAGGGAACTTGCCTGGGGTGCAAGCTGGATCCCCAGTAGGGGGCCTGCTGGAAGCAACCGATCATTGATTCTCATCATTGATCTTTCTATCTCTCTCTCCCTCTCCCTTCCTCTCTAAAATACACACACACACACACACGTACATACATACATACTAGGTGCCCAGCCTGCAAAATTGCGTGGCCCCACCCACCCACCCGCCACCCTGCCTTGACACCGAACCTTTCCACGCAGAGCCCCTGCATGCCTAGCCCAGCCCCCTACCCCTGTGGCCTTCTCTGGCCACTTCAAGCCCTGCCCTCGGTCCCTCAAGTCGCCTCAGGCTGGTCCTGCCTTCTCTGGGCGCCTCCCTGCTTCCTCCCCATCTCTGGAGCAATGCTGCGGCTCCACCGGTCATGGCGCGAGAGGAGAGCGTGGAAGCCTCCCACCTGCTGCGCGATGCTCCTTCCCCTGGCAGGTGGGCGGCGGGGCGGGCGCTCTGAGTGTGAGTGGTGGGTGGTGAAGGACTGGTGAGGCGGGTGCCACAGGCTCTCACCCCTGCCTTCCCCTCCAGGGGATTGTCTCGCCTCTTTCGGGCACATCCCCGCTTTCACCACATCTCTGGAGCAACGCCTCCCAACCAACGCATGCGCAGGCAGCCTCCTGATGTTACCATGTAACAAATATTTAGAATATTCCTTTATTATTATATAGGATATTTTTAAAAAGCAGAGTTTTCACAATACATTAAAAAAGTATTATCTGAAATTTAAATGTATTCTCCTGAAAGGAAGAATTAAAACACAAAATGCAAATTTAATAATTAAGGTTTTGACATATATAGACTGCTTTGGGTCTCATTGTTAGTTTTAGAAACTAATCAATGACTTTTGGAGCTCAGTAGGCTCCAATATAGGTATTTTCATGTAGTAATTATCCTGAACATCACAAGTATAATGGAGATAATTACTTGCTTTTTAAGCTGATGTAGTTTAAAAATTCACCCGGGCCTGTTGTGTTTAAAGATTTGACATTTAAGCCATAGTGCTGGCTTGTTTATCTTCACTACTAACTGATCAGGTGAATCTATATATGGAATATATTCTGATCTAAGTTATACTTTACAAGACTAGTGATGAGTTGAGTTTTGTTGTGTGCCAGTTAGAATTGCCACATTGGTCTCTTCTATGCGTGTTTGAGATCTGTGCTGGCAGTTCCATCAGCTGCATCTCAGAACTCTACTGTTGTGGATCGTGATCTGACCTGGTGCACAAAACTAAATAACTGCAATGAGACCTATTACAGAATCTGTAGCTCAGAATTGTTTCTGCTTTTTGGCTATATAGCGCCACTTATCTTGCAAAGTGTCTTTGTGTGAGAACTTCTGATAAGAATACAATCATATAATCCTATATAATAAATGGGTAATATGCAAATAGACCAAATAGCAGAACACTTGAACAATCAATCAAAGCATAATATGCTAATGATATGCTAAGGCTGCTCAACTGCTCACTATGACATGCACTGACCACCAGGGGGCAGATGCTCCAACTGGTAGGTTATCTTACTGCTGGGGTCTGGCCAATCCAGACTGAGCGAGATGGGCCGGACACACCCTGGAGCCCTCCACTGGTCCCTCCCCAGCCCAATCGTACACTGGTGGGGTCCCTCAGCCTGGCCTGTGCTCTCTCACAATCCAAGACCCCTTGGGGGATGTTGGAGAACTGGTTTCAGCCCAATCCCACAGGCCACTCTCCTTGGGAAGGTGCCAGACACAGGGCTGGCGAGCGCTGCTGTGGCAGCATGAGCCTCTCCCAATTGATACTGATTGGGCACAAGCCTGGGGCAGGCACAGTGGGGCCGGGATGAGTGGGAACAGGATGAGCGGGAGTGGCAGGTAGGAGCTGCAGGCTGCGTTGGACTGTGGGTTTCAGCATGATCCTGGCAGGCCACCCTGAGGGCTCCCATCTGTGCATGAATTCATGCACCGGATCTCTAGTTTTTTAATATGAATTTTTTAATTGTTTATTCGAATTTAACAGAACAAAAACTTAAAGCTGAAAGAAATATCTTAAAATATGTGTTTCTTTACTATAAAAGGTAGTAGTTACTAAAAGATCATTCAAAGAAAAGTAATAAAATACATTTTGAAGTTAGCATCATTATTTTGCATTAGTTAATGCCTTGAGAAGTGGAGGGGTTAAGACTTTTAACCTTTGCTCTTGCATCTCTTCTCCAACCTCTCA